ATCCATACTGCCTGGTCGTCAGAGAATCTGAAGCTGGATTAGACAAGCTGGTCTCGTGCTAAAGCTACAGCCTTTATGATGCTCACCAGCTGGCATTGCCACAAAACAGTTACTGCCACGCGCCTAGCACCTCAACTGCTGTTGCATCCAGCTGCTGATTTGGATGCAATCAAAAATAATCTAAGCATGCAACTCCAACAAATAATCCATTTTTTTTTTCTCCACAACAAAAAGTACTACGCCACGATCAGTCACCTTGGAGAAAAGATGTTGATGCACACTGAGCTCTTGTGTTGCAAGCTTCCCAGTTGGAGAAAAGCGCACATACTTCCTTGTTGCATCCAAGGCAATGTTTGCTGGTTGCCGTCGCACTAAAAAAGTTTGTGTTTTTAAAGAATACACACTGTCAGAATGTCAAACAATGGCTCTGGTAGATACATACATGCAGAATGAGAGTAATTAGGAGGAGAAGCTCAACAAGTAGATGGTGTGAAATAAGCTGAATGGCAGATGCTTTGAGCATCCTAAAAACACAGTTCAGGCTTGTTGTGATTGATTGACAGTGATCAAAGGACCAAAAAAAAAAAAAAAAAAAAAATGAACGGCAGGTTGTATGAAGAAAACATCCCAGTCCAGTCCAGCACCCAATGGCAGAAGCATCGTGGTAGGATAGTCAGAAAGCAGAAAAAAAAAACTCCTTTTCCCATATAGCATCATTAATACCCTCACATTGAAATTAGGGTTTTAGAGAGCGTATCCTTTCAAAAATTTAATGTAAGTACGTTTTTTTTTATAGTTTTTGACATCTAATAAAGCACATGCTTATAATAAAGGTAACACCTCATACTTAAAAAAAACAAAAAACAAAAAAAAAACGATAACAACATACAGTATTTAGAGCTCAGCTTTCAGCAAATTATGCCCGCTTTGGCTCTACTGTGTCTACCAGTGAGAAAGTAGAGAGGTTGCTTCCACTGTGCTAAAAAGAAAGGCATTTTTTTTTTTTTAAAGAGCCAAGCTGTGGGGGTCGGGTCAGGAGATTGGCAGTCGTTGGCTGGCAGTCGCAAGATGGAGAGAAGCAGGGTGTGGGCTATTAGAAAAAAGGCTAAATGCTGCAGTTATTTAACAGCAGACCTTCACAGCGGTCTGCATGCTGGTCCCCTCGAGCAGAGGCTGACTTTAGTGATCCAGTACGGCGAGCAACGGCGGATGGTTGCCACCTCTTTTTCCAGGTCAGCTGAGACCACACTCGCACGCTCCCATCATGATGCCCTCAAAATCTGTTTGAACCTCTGACTGAGAGCCTTCAGAAATGTGGTGGGATTATTTCAACAAGGCCTAGCCTGCAGGGACAGAGTCTCCAGGTAATTTGTTTTCAATAAGCCATGACTATCCTGGCCCCTGGTGACAGGTGATTCATCCCTCTGAACTCATCACTCTCACAGCCTGAGCAGCTGCTGAAAACGCTTGCACGGCTCCACGGATTCCAGCTGGATGAGCCAGACGTGTATCCCTGGGAATCAGTAGTGGGTGATTTTCCTCAATTTATGTCCGCTGCAGCTACAGGGGGGTGGTCTATCAAACACATCAGCTATTGAGCTATTTCATACTGGTTTTAGTGCCTACGTTGGTTCTTATCAGCGTCATAGCTGCATATCCAATAATGAAGTCAGGCTGAAGTCAGAACATGGATCTGGGCAAAAACAATTCATCCATGTTCTGGTTGTAAATCAGAAAGCCAGAGGGATGTTCTAATTTCTGTGTATAATACTAGCATGATAAGCTAATAATGTTGAAGTCTATTTTCTTTGCAATTTTAACATATTAATGTAATATCTTATTTCAATTTAAGTACTCATCAAATATGGAGACAGCTATTTAATCATATTCTACCAGTTTGATAATAGGTAGTTTTATCAATACGTTCTGTCACAACTGGGCATTTGAGGACTTTCAGAATCTAAACATGGTCCAAAATGAAAATGAGTTCGACACACCTGTTCTAAGTGAAACAGGAGTTTTTCACTCTTATTGTTATGCTCTTGACAAAAACTTCTGTTTTTTTTAATGTTTTCAAATTTGTGTCAACATGGCAGTACTTGAAAATCTTAGTATTTACAGATGTGGTACATGTCTTAAAGGGGCAGCAGTGTGTATTTTACAGGCATACCGTGCCAGCACAGTCAAGTAACTGTTCTCTTCAGTTGAATGCTGTAAATATCAAGAATAACTAAAAACAGATTTAACTTCACAATTTAACTCCTTGAAATTGGGTCTCTGTCCCTTTAAGAAGCTCCAGCTCTTTCTGACGCTCTGCCTTCAGAACGTTATCACAACCGTGTTTCTTCATTAACCCTAATTTAACATTTAAAGAGTCCCTCAAACATGCATAAAAGAGTCAAAGCAACAGTCCAGGAATGTTTTGGACGGCGGAATATCATCATGACACAAAGCTCAGAAAACTCGACTTCACATCATCCCTCTCCTTCAAAAAGTCTGAGAATCACTGCTCGAAAGTGATTAAACAAAAGTACAATGATTGTCTCATTTTTTTTTTCTATTAACAGATTTATATGTGCACAGAACACGGTTTTCATCCTACAAGTTTGTGATCTCCACTGTGTAACTCTACTTTCATTTTTTGTTCTGCTTCTAACCAGGACAGCCTCCACACTCTGCCAACTTCGCTCCAACAGCCTCCCCTACAGCTGAAGGTTCCCGCTCATCGACCTGTTTCTTCAATCCTCCAGCGCCCTGATGTCCCGCTTTCTTGCCTCATCTCGCTTGACTTTGCTTTCCTTCTGTCCTGTCTTACATCTACTAAGCCTCCTCATTTCATCATTTACTGGCTTGTTGCGTCGGCCTTCACACCTTTATGTCTCACTAAAAGTAACTTCAGGCGTATCTGGCGAGAATAAAATGAATGACAGCAGATTATTACATACTATATTTAACAAGTATTTTAATGCTGAAGCACATTTTTTCTGCTGCACTTGTTCTGCTGTAGTTGTGTTATGTTGTATAACTAAAAATGGCTTTAATTTTCTTTGCTTTCCTTTCCGTTTCAGGGAATGTGAAAATATTTTATTTTAAAGCAACATGTGGACATACGAGCACTTCACAACGCGACACTCTGTGTAAACCTCGACTGACATAAAGACGAGGGCAAATGATAAAAAAAAAAGTTTTATCAGTCTATTGCCCTTTAAAATGAGTTTCTGTTCTGTGATTTCTCCTCCAAAGTGTGCAACCTTCACCTGTTCATGACATCACAAAAAATCTCATTTGACGACTCAGCCACCCTGATAGCTCCCCCACCATCGGGATCTAGACAGGAGGTTCTTTTCCAAATCCATTTCATGTTAATCTTAAGTTAAATGTTTTGCCAGGAAAGTCAGAGCAATCACAAAAAGATAAGTGAACTGTTGAGCTTTTTATTCTGTCTGTTAATGGACTTCTGCCTATTGAAAATGATCAATTATCTGGGCAAAGACAATAAAACACCGCGAGCAAGCTTGTTTTATTTACTAATCTAGCACTTATGCTGTTAATCATACGGAAAATTGAACTGTTTATGTAAACAAAACCTTAGAAATAAAAAATAAATAAATAAATTGAAGGTGGTGCTGAGATTTTTCTCAGCTATGCAACAGTGATGAGACTTAATGAAAATGTTTGCATCCTAGAGCATCTGTCCCCTCTACAATGATTCTCTCTGAGTGTGTAGGTGTGTATGCGTGTGTGTGTGTGTTTGTGTCCTGCACAACTTGTTTTCCTCAGATGGTTGATTTCGGTGAGCCCATGTGTATTTCTATATACTACACTGATCTCGGCAGCCCAGCTGGACACACGATCCACAAGCTGGAAGACGCATGAACGTCCCACAAACCGTCTCCCAGCGTAGTCGGCCCCGACAGCGAGCGTGTTCATCAGAAAATCTGTTCAGGTCCACATTTACATAAGCATTCAAATTGAACATCGACGGCGACGTATTTACAGATATTAATACCAACTGAACGGTTTTGCGCTTTGTCATAATATAGCCGCAAATGTATTTGCTGGTATGTTATATAGCAGATCAACACAAAGCATAAATGTGAAGTGAAGGGAAAGTGACATATGGTTTTTAAAATGCATTAGATAAAAAAAAATCGTTAAAGGTGAAAAGGAGGTTATGAGAAAAAATCAATACTTTTCAGAACCCCTCCCCCCCCTTCACTGCTACTACAGCTGCACTGATATATTTGCCCATTTTTCTTCGCCGAATAGCTCAACCTCAGTCATATTAGTCACTTTTTCCACGGTATATCAGATTTTGCTCTGAACTTGGCCATTTTAAAACATATCCTGTGATTTAAACCATTCTGGTTGTGTGTTGTGGGGCTGTTATTCACCTGAGGTGAACTTCTGCCTCGAGACCTTTGCAGCCTTTAACCTTTCTTTCAGAGTCGACCGGCATTTAGCTCCATCTTTCCTTCCATCACCTCTAACCAGAGCTCCTGATGAACAAAGAAGTCTGTACAGCATGTTGGTGCTGCTGCCACCATGTCATAGTGTGATCAGTGCAGTGTACAGTTTTAGTTATTATTTTGCTTTCACTTCTCATCAGATCGCGTCTCCATTCCTTGGTTCGATACGCAACAGTGTGAGATGAATTATACTAAATATGATTCCCATTATTTCAATACTATTGGAATATTGCCCCTGTGCACAATTGATACCGTTTTACACCAGATGGTAATAAATTCAGTAAAAAAAAAAAAAAAAAATGAAACGAGCAATAACTGAATTGTTTGTAAAATGTAAATCTAAAATTAAAAAAAAATAAAAATAAAAATAATTTGCTGAGTGGTCCAAACATACACTATAGTGATTCCACAAGCAGGAAATAATATGACGCTCCATTTTGAAGGCTTTGTAACCTTTGGTTATTATTTAAGGATTATCTGGGTGAGCGTGAGCCAATGGTTTCATGTAGGCTGATCAAAAAATGTTCCTACCTCCACGACAGGTGCCTCTTATTCCATTTGTTCTGTGTGTTCAAGCTTCGTTTCCTGCGCCCCGCCGTCACGTTGGGATCAGAGACATCTGGCAGAGAGCATCTGGGTGTTTTCATTAGACCTAGTGTGGCTTGGTCTGAAGGACAGTGAAGGTGAGAGGAAGTAGTTAAAAACTAAAATGGCTTTCCATGATTAAAACTTTATAATATCTGCTTATAGTGCCTTTCAAGAGTGTCCATGCCTCTAAAGTCTTAATCACAATTTGTCATGATGCAAACAACAACCTGAATGTAGTTTTTTTTAGGGATTTTATGTGGTAAAAGTGGAAGGTAAGTCATTATACATAGTTTCCATTTTATTTTCAAATGAAAATTGGAAATGTTAGGAATGCACTTTTATTTAGCTCTGATAGCTTAGGTGCTGCAGAAGATCTACAGCTAAGGTCGAAGACAGCTATGAGTCATGCACTCCACAGATCTAGCCTTTATAAGAGGGAGGCAAGAAAGCCACTGTCGGAAGGAGAAAAAAAAATGTTTTCAGTTTGCCACAAGCCACACAGCAAACATGTTAAAGAAGGGAGTGTGGTTAGATGAGACCAAATTTGAACTCATCAGTGTGGAAAGAACTATGTGACAGGGAAACACGGTGGTGGCTCCATCAGGCTGCAGGGAATCTTTTCTTTGACAGAGACAGGGAAGCATGGGTGGAGCTAAGTAAAGGGCGATACTGGGAGCAAAGTTACATGATTACAAAAGACTTGAGAGTAACAAATTGAAAATATTGAGGAGTACAGGCCAAATCACACCCATCTACTAGAATGGCCCAGTCAAAGTTCAAACCTAAACCTAAATGTACATCTGGAGGTTAAGAGTCCTTGTCAAATGGCGTTTTAACTAAAAATCTGGATCTTTTTTTTTTTTTTTTCCAAATTCCAAACTTTTTTTTGTTCAAAATCTGTCACATGCTGTAAAGCACTTTGAAATGTCTTGCTGCTGAAATGTGCTATACAAATAAAATTTGATTTTGATTTGATCTGTAGCCAGATTAATAAAAGACTGGATGTCCCCCCCCCCCATCCAGTCTGACCGATCAAAACTTCCTACAAAAACTTGCATCTGTAATAGAAGCAAAGGATGGCTGTGGACGTCAAGATTTTTCATTTGTAAAACATTTTGAGAACCATGTATCATTTTCCTTCTACGTCATCTATTAAATAAAATTCCAGTAAAATACAAACATATACATATTCAACAGATATAAGTACTTTTATAAAGGCACTGAAAGAGACTTAATGCTTTTAGTGTCTTTGGAGAGGAATACATCTGATCTGCAAAGATGGCCTCAACGTTTTCTGCATTTATAATTGGCTGCACCAGCAACCCTGGGAATTCAGGTGTTCCTATGCAAACATATGTGCATCAACACAATGTATTTTAAATCCATTTAAATGATAAAATACATAAGCTCTTGAAGATATCTGCTTACAAGTGCAACAAAACTCTTTAGGGTGTCTGCCATCTAGAACATTATTTTTGTTTCTCCCCCTCAAACCTCTACAACTCAAAATTACTCGCATCTACTCTCCATTGCTGTATATGTGGGAGATAAATAATGGCACTGTTTGCAGAGGAGGGTTGTGGTGCCTATGAGTGAGTAAGACTGCCAATGCGAATTGCAGGAAATTATGAGAATACTGCATGGAGAGAATAGGAGAACGCACGCTAATCAATATACTGTTCTGTTCCCCACGTATAAGCATCATCAATCACGTACAGTACGCACGTGGAGGTATTGTCATTCTTCTCTCCCCCTCTCTTTGTGACAGCAAGTGTGATTCATGTTTACAAGCTCTCCTGTGGTGGGTAGACAGCTGTGCAATGCAATACTACCCAGTAAATAGAACCCAAATAAATATTACCTTTCGGTGTTTTGTCTAAGATATATTGATTCAGTTCCTTGTAAAGCTACTCTCTGTGTTTTTGTTGCTAGGACTGCATTATAGTCAAGCACTTGTACTTCCTTTCACTGTTACTTAGCTTGACATCCTCTGCAGTCTCAAAGTAAAACAGATTGTGCGGGATGCATCTGAACGCCCACAAATGCACCTAATACTCCAGTTTCCTTCAGTCCTCCAAACTTCTGCATGGCTTTGATGGCCTTGGTCAACGCCTCTTTGGTCTGCAGCTGGCCAGTCACCGGGTCGGGGGGCGGGAGGTAGCCAAACCTACTCAGCCAGTCCTGGAAGAGAAATAGCAGCAGACACACTTCAACACACAAATAGCTGTTTTTATGTTCACAGTGATTTTTGTGTCTGAATATAGTCGCAATTGTATTTTTTTTTCAACCTTAACATTATGACGCCCTAATAGAGAAGCGTATATTCGAAGGAAACCAAGAGCTCTCAATGTGCTGACTCCAGCTTCAGCTGACTCCTTGTGAAGCTCTTCCAAATTCTTCAATAGATTTAGCTTGACAATCCTCTCACAACCACACCACATTAACACATTCATTTATGCAAAAGAAGGCACAACCAAGTATTAAATACATATAGCACACATACTTTATTGATTGTATGTGATATTATAGTTTACAGAGACACTACATTTTAGATTTTTTTATGATCTGTAAGCTGTAATAATAAACATTTCAAGAAATAACAGTTTAAAATAGCTCACAGTATGTGCAACAAATATATACAATATGATTTTCTTTTTGTAAACTTTTTCCACAAAATTCTAACTTTTGGAGCTGTACTTGTAGAACAGGAGATATTTAAAATCTTTACTGTAGTTTGTTCATGACTACAAAGTGTGTAGATAAGGTTCAACCTGCTAAGAGACATTTAACCAAACATTAGTTGAACTAAGGGAAATTCAGCAGTTCTATTGTCCAAATAAACCATGTTTACACACACACACACAAAAAAAGAATAACAAACTAAATTGATTGACCCTGTGCAAATTAATTTGGATTCAGCTTTTCTAAAAAAAACTCCTTTTGTCAGGCAACACTGAATACAATTTCCAGTAGCTGCAATTTTAAGTGTTTTTTTTTAATATTATTATTGTCAAATCTACAAATTCTCTCAGTCTGTGTCTTTTTTTCAAATCTCTCAAACTTAACCATCAATTGGCTAATGTGCAGCATGACAAGCATGTTTTTACTCTTCAGTTACAAAACTCAGAGTAGCAAATGTTTTCACCTGAAATCACAAAAATTACAATGAGCAGGAGGAAGAACAAGATATCCTGCTCTTCAGAGACGGAAAAAAATCACCTATTTAAGACAAAAGCAATTGCTGCTGTCCAACACGAGCAGAAACATAAATTGATATTTTTGTTTCTGCATCAGTAAATATGGTGAAATTATACTTTAAAATAAGGTAAACCGGGTTTTTACGAGTTACTTGGAAATCAAAAAATGCCTCAGAGCCAAGTGATCCACAGAAAAGCCGTACCGGGCGCACGGTTCAAAACGTGGGCAAAAAGTAGCGGCTTATATACGGTGTATAATACGGTTACTAGATAAATACAACAAGTTTTACTCTGGCCAGTAAAACCAAAGCAAAAGTCAATATAAACACAGTGCTCTTAAAATCTGTGTTTATGCCAGGCGATTATAATATGAAAGCTGGAGACATGAGTGAAGATAAGTATAGTTATCTGAGTGAAGATAACTATAGTTATCTTCACATGAGTGAAGATAACTATAGTTTTATAGAGTTTGATACATACAACTAATTCAATTTCAGGTGTAACTATGAACACAACCCTCTTCAACACTGGAAAGTGATCCTTCTTTCAGAAAGTGAATAATAAGTCAGCAAAACAAACAAAAAAAAAGTACACCTCAGCCATACATCAAACATACTGATATTGATTCTTGTAACATTTTTAGTAGACTTTCCAGAGTCTTCCATGGAGCCCAGGGGTAAGTATATGAGCAGGCCTCATAAAGCTTCAACATGTTGCCTAAGCACACAAGCCATAAACCTTAAAATATATATGTCTTTCATATTGCAAATGTTCTAATAACAGGGGAGAATCTAGAGTCTATTGTGCATTAAGCCACATTGCAGCAGTTAGCCGAATGCATTAATGTCTGAATTTAAAGATCAGTGGGGGACTGTGAAATAGTACTGATGCTAATGCTGCCACAAAAGCAATGAATTCTGGGAAATTAAGTGACACTACAGGCCATGTTTGATTAGCATCCCTAAGTAAAAAAAAAAAATAAAAAAAAAAAAAGAAGAGGAGGGAAAGTGCATTGTAATTTCGATTATGTAAAACTCTTATTGACATTTTATGTATTTTTAAGCTGGCACAAATACAGGGAAGAGAGCAACTTCAACATGTCACAATCTTACCAATTTCGTCTGTTGTTTTTTTTTTTCCACACATTTTTCTGCAGGTGTGGAAGCAGATTTCTAGAGTTATTATCGCTTAAATATCTCTAAATATTTTACCCCAACCTTTCTCCCTTTCTTCTCTCCTTTCATTCGTCTGTCGCATTTGAAGTAAACGCAAAGCAATTTCTAACAAAGTTAAACA